GTCATTGTTAGAATATTGGTGGTGAAATGAAGTCTGACGCAACGTACTGTAGTGGTTGGCGCAGACCTTGAGGGTCTTGTCACGGCGCATGACGAGACGGGTCTTGCCGTTCTCCTTGTGCTTGAGCAAGCGGACATCACCAGTGCCGCGCTCCTTCCACTCAGTGGTCTCCTTGACGAACTTGAAAAGCTTGGCGCGCATCTTGAAAAGCTGCTCCTCGGCCTCCTCGTTGGTGGCGACGTCGACCTTCTCCGTCAGCTTGATGACGGGCTCGAAGTGGACATCTTCGGACTCGGGGGCTTCATCCTCCTGGGATTTCCAACGTTAGCACAAGATCGAACACGCAACTTACCCCTGCATCGAAACAGAGCGTGCGATATGACGTACCTCGCCGTCCTTCTTTGCGGCATCGCGCTGGGCCTTTGCGCTGCCAGAGTTGTCACCGCGGTCCTCGTCCTCCTTCTTCTCCTTCTTGGCACCACCTCCGAACATAGAGAAAACGGAAGAGGAGGTCACAGGCTTCTCAGCCTCGCCGGTGGTCTGTGGGCGATACTGTCAGCCATCCGAACGTGGCAATATGGAGAATTGGATCGCGATGCGAGCGAGCAGAGAGTGCGCATGTCTCCCGCCCGTCATGGAGAACCCGTGAGATACGGTGAGCTTTAAATTATCTTCGTATGAGAACATGACGAGGGCGGGGGAGCGAGTGCGCGTGCGACAAAGGGGTGATCGTACCTCGACGGGCTTGGTCTCCTCGACCTTGGGCTCGGTAGCTTCGGCAGAAGACATATTGATGAGTTTTGCGAAGTAGTGGTTTTGGGGTGAAGTATGACGATGTTTAGATCTGCGGGTGGGAACGAGGAGAAAAAACGTTAGCTCGTGGACTTTGCATTACGACCAAATCTGCCCCTCATCGAGCGGACGGGCGCGACGGCATGCTCGTCATCAAGGCCGACAGGAAGCGGACTGCGGGGAGAAAGACTCAAGAAGAATGATACTTACCAGGGCTAGCAGTGGTATGTTCTGCAGTAAAGGGGGGGATCGGAGAGTGGAAAGCAAAAGATGATTATGTTTCTTCGCTCGAGGTGAAGTTGGGAGTGGGTTGGACAAAATGAGGAAACAGCCCCTCATTCAAAAGTCAACAACAGGAGGGCAGGAGGGGTGTCGGGCGGGCCTGGCCCTTGCTGTTAGGTGCCCAGGCAGTGGTCATCCTGCCATCAGCAAGTACCCCTCCACCCAAATAATGAGGAATTGTACATGCTGTCGCCGCTCCTGGCTCTGTGGGGATGCACCTAAGCCAAAGCCCAAGCTGGATTCGCGCAGCCAATCACCAAGCCTGCTGCCTTTGCCACTGGGGACCGGGAGTCCCTGATTTGGGGATGAGGATTTTGACGCTATCTTGGTCATTGCCCGGCCCTATCCGCACTATTGAACTGAATAATCTTACTAGATGATTAACTGCGACTCTTTTGCTCGCAATTTCGAACTATGACCGGACTGACTTCACCATTGTAAGACCCTGTTGTGAGCTCTCAGACCGTCGTGCTTCTGTCAGTCAGACAGGTAGGAAGAAACTTTTCCAGAAACTACTCAACTTGGGACCAAGTTTGGACGACGGACACAAGCACACGGCATATCCAGGCACAACTTGAAGATGTAAAGTAGGGAGTTTTACGAGACTGCTCGGAGAATCACTGCAGAAGCCTGCTCATAGTCTATCATTCCTGTCCATCCATTCATAAATACTGTAGCCGCCTCAAAGCGACTAGAAACTCGGGAACTCGGCGGAGCTTACCCTGACCTGCCTCACTTCGCCGTCGCAACTGCGAACAATACATGGGAAGAGTGGGGAGAGCGATGTGAATAACTAAACATTGAAGGGCGAATGAAGCAAAAAAGATGAGACAGCCATTACAAAACCCATACCGATAACTCCAGTTCCTTCCAGTCCTTGTCCCTAACCGGCCTCCAAGGTATCTCCATACTTGCGTGTAAAATCAGACTCATCCTTGCTGTCGGCACTGCTGCGTCCACCTAGAAAAGCCAGAGCCTGTTTGGCATCTAGCCGCCAGGCGCTCTCTCTTCCGACGAGCTCGCATCTCCTTCTTCTCCTTATCCAGGCGTTGGTTGTGGGCCTCCGTCGCTGTCAACCGCAGCTTTTCCATGTGCTTCTTGGCCTTGTCCAAGTAGATCTTATGCTCTTCCGTCTTTTGCAAGACCTTCAATGCTAGGAGCCGAGATTGAAGTTGGGCTTTCGTGAACACAATATTCGCTCGGTCTCTCAACTCTTGCAATCGCTGTGGATTTCTCAGGCTCTGCAGGTTCTCAGACAGCTCTGCAGATCCCTTGACGATGGCATTCGCAGCGTTCGCGGCCCTCGCGGTGATGCGGGTAGATAACCCTCTGGTATCCGCTACGATGGAGTCCAGGCTCAGGAGGTTGAGGCTTGAGAGGTCGAAGGCTCGCTCCTCTGCCTGATGTGCGACACTGTTTGCTGTATCAAGGACGTGGGAAGCCACCGCCTTGCCATATCCAAGACAACGCTCGAGGACGGTCTGTCCAAGGTCGACCACAAAGGTCTCATTGACCTTGGGCTTTCGAGTTGTATTGACCGCAATAGTGAGGATGCCATGCGCTTCCGACTTGGGGATTTCAATCAAGATTCCCTCGTCGGTCGAAGAGAATCTGGTCTTAATAGACCTCTCGCCCTTGAGGACATCGATAGTGATCGAATCTTTGGCAAGCCATGATGTTTTCGTGCCAGAGGGAATTTTGATCAGTATCTCATTGCGGCTGACTTTCTCCGCCGAGCATACGTAGGCTTTGTCAGGAAATTTGTCTGCAATGAAGTCGGCAAGCTCTGCGAAAGGTGCAACAGCCGTGTTGCTGGTTGCAGACGCTTTTTGAGCCACCCGAATCGTTGTGGTGGATAGATTGATCGTCGAAGTCGAAGTCGACAGTACTGTCGGGGTCAAGGATGACAGTGTACTAGCTGTGGTAGAAGAGACTGTGGAAAGTGCTGGTGTGTTTGAAACTCCTGTCAAGAAGTAGTTGGAGAGCAGTGCTGTGGCGATGACGCTAAGGACAAGAAACGTGGTCTGGCCCACGACCCATAGGTCGATATCTTCCACGGTCTCGACAGCGCGGCGCCAAGTATGACGAACAGTCTTGCTCACGGTGTTAGAGTCGCACTTGCTCTTCTTCCAGTCTGCGTGATCGTAAAGGCCGGTGAGGTAGGCCAGGTTTCGATTCATCTGGCGAGCATCGATGTTGAGGAATGAGGTCAGGTCGATTGGGAGCTTGATAGAAGGCATGGCCCGGTCAGAAGACTCCACGCAGATGTGGATAGCGTGCTGGTTGATCATATCGTCCCATACTGCATTAGGTTGATGGTGGACCTCGTCGTTTGAAATGAAGATGCTAGGCACGGCGTGCCTTTGCATGAAGTTCCATGCAGCATTCCGGGTGCTTCTAGCAGCCTCATCGTCATTCTCCGTAACGTAGAAGATGGCGACATGAGGCAGCGTCCATGAAGGCTCAATGATAGATCCACTGGGCGCAAAAGCAGACTGGAAAGTCCGATCACCGTCCACAGTGATGTGATAGACAGTCTCACCCAGGAAACGCTCGCCTTGGTAGACAACCTCCTTCGCTGCCGTGCAATTTTCGACCTTGATTTGGTATTGTGAAGTCTTCATCAACTCGACTTCGGGGACCTTGGGGGATCCCAGAGATGATATAGGCACAACGTTATAGATACCAGCATCTTCGCTGATGCCGCATCCATCTGCGGATGCAGATGCTGTGAAGGCCGAGGAAATCTTGTATATAATATCATGCCTGGCTGCATGGCTGCCCGTGTACATGATCCGGAGAGGTTCCTTCGTCGCCAGACAGTGTGACGCCATTGTTTGACGGACTGCTGCGATGAGACGCTTGTTCTGGTCTGGGAAGTGGAGTGTCTTGGCGATGGAGGTCGACTGCTCCTCGGTAAAGGTGTGAATGGTATGTTTGACTGACACCTGCTTGAAGTAGACTGGGTCTTGCGTCTCGTCAAATTCGATGGACTGTACCAGCGGGGTTTGCTGGCTGATGTCCATGGAGCTATCGATGCCCAAAGGCGGCGTCGGGACGCGGGAGGACGGATTGAGGAGGCTCTGCTCAGCGTATTGAATGGACGAGGCTCGAGACCTGTCTTGCGCGGCGTCCTCTGAGTCTTGCGAGTCCGTATCGGACTGGTTGGTCATGTCCTCTGTATGTTCAGTGCCAGCGAGGCTGTGGACGTCGTCGGGGCGGGCATAGTCAAAAGAGCTCAACGACTCAGCTTCGGTGCCACGGCCGTCCTGGCTCTCGTCGTCAGTGTTGATAAATTCGTATGTGCTCTCGGACAGTGCCACGACATCTTCGGGTGCTTCTGATGGAGTCATGATGTCGGGTTCGCTGGATGAAATCCAGCTAGCCAGTTGTCGGTTTCCTTGTGGTCGGGGGAACCTCAAAGTCAGCTCGGAAGATGACAAGGTTGTCGACGCTGCCGGGCTGTGGGTAGATGTGTCGACGTCCGTGGTAGAATCGGCGCTGTGCTGCTCTTCCATACCGAGATAACAAGGGTTAGCCTTTTGTGTTATCCCGTCATGCCTCGGGAAGTCTGGGAGCTGGAAGAAATGGGATATGCTCGACAGTCGGCGGCTGTATGTGGTGGAAGGAATTAACGGAGTGGTTGTGGTGGTTGTGGCGGTGGTGGGAGGATGGAGGGGTAAAGCGGGATATGAAGCAGGTCACGCTCGTGAGCTGACACAACGGACGGCGGTTGAGGGGCGTGGAGGGGTTGCTTTTTCTTCGGGACAAACGACCTGATCCAAGAAGTTGAACATCTAGGTAGCAAAGACGATTCGGGGATGTAGAGAGAAAAAAAAGAGATTCAACTAACTCTGGCCGGGCCTTTGGGATGTGTAGGAGGATTGTGAGGTGGTGGCGGGAGGTGAAGTAAGGTAGATGGGTACTCAGGTAAAGGTAGGTAAGGTAGGGTGCGTCGTCAAGGTCGGTCGGCGGCAGGTGTTGCCTGTACGGTGTACCTGCCTGTCTGCCTGGCCTGCCTTGCCCAGCTTACCGAGAAGGTGCTCGCTGCTGCGTGCTTGCCAGCTGGTATTGCCTTGCGGATCGAAATGGCCAACGCGGGGTGGGGAAATGGCAAGGGACTGGAAGGGACAGGATGAGATGGGACGAGAAGGCGGTCGGTTTATCGGAGGTGACTACCTTACCTTGGGTATGACTTGGGGATGTCACGCGGCTGCCGCTATCGAGAAGTTGCGACAAAGATAAGGAACAAGGGTACAGTCTGCTAACCTGATGGCGTTGCTCACGTTTGGTCCTAGCCGTCAAAGCGTCAGCAGGCCAGGGTTTGGATTTGGGGGTTTCGTTCCGATATTGGTCGTTCCGGAAGGGAAGTTGAGTGCCCTGCGAAGAATACTGAATAGAAGACGATGGGAAATGAAGGAAGGAGAGATGTGGTGGAGGAATATGACAGTTTGTATCGGGATGGATGGATGGATGGATGGATGCACCTCAAGGGTGGTGGGTGGTGCGGAGAGGAGAGAGACATTCAGGTCGGGCGCACCATCAAAAAGGCAGAAAGGCAGCTGAAAAGGCAACGGGACGGCAGTCGAGACACGACCAGGCGGTCCAGGAAGGTACCTACCTACCTTCCTTCCTTCCTTTACCGGACCTCATATCCTGCCTCACCATCCGCAGTTTTGGAGCAGGCAGGTGGCACCAAGTCAGAATAGCACGAAATAGCAAGAACTGCCAAGCGCCAAAGCTGAGATAAGTGCACAATTCCATATCTAAGGTGCCTTACCTACTTACTACCTAGGTAAGTACTCGTGCAAAGTACCCTAGCAGTCATGTCATCTTAACAGCCGTCGGCCAGACGCATCTCATGTGCTCTTTGGAGGTGGGGGCGGGGTCCATTTCGCGACCGAGTAAAGGCGCAACATATGGCGTTCATTTCACCTTGAAGGACCACATCTGGCATTTGTAAAGCCGAGTATGCGTCACTCGCTCCGGGGCCTGGATACCTCGCGTTCAAATGGAATGTCACTGGCAACTGCCCCCGCCCACTTTGATTGCAGCTCGTCACAAGCAGATACGCATCATTATACCTCTTATCGATAACAAGCCGGAGGAAATCGGTGCCAGGTGCAACTTGCACCACGCACCGCGCACCGCTGCGACCTGCCATGGTGGGGTTCCTTATCCACTAGCCCACCATCACCCCGCCTGTGAACCGCTGTTGGTGCCAACAGCCTTGGGTTAGCTCCAACCCCTACGGGCCTCGAGTGGCATCTCGACGGAGGAAGATCCGCTCACTCCCAACATCACCTCTTAGCTTCCTTTTCAACTTGGATCGGGTTCCATTTGGGCTTCACTTGGGCCGAACTCCTTGTTCTTCTATGGGAATATTCACTCGTTATCTTCAAGACCTTCCCAGGGCACTTGTTGTAGGCACATCTTCCAGGCTGCCGCTTCAGGCGCAAAGTCTGGAAGTGAACCACTCATCGTCCCCTCGCACAGGCTGAAGCAAGGTACCAACCTAAATGTCCAAGTCATCCAATGTGGAAAGCTCAAGTGACTCCCGCCCGCTTGCGGCATAGGAAAAGACCAACAGGTTCGCCACGCACCACGATCACGACGCCTCACCACGAATTTCACAAAAGACTGCGCAAGTATATCCAGCCATGGCTCAGCGGGGGAGGGAAGAAAGCTACAATTTCGACCCTAGGTTGTGTGAGGCCCGCATGTCTTCCGAATGTTTCACCTTTTTGCCGTCTTTCCTGTCTCTGAGAATCCCATGTCTTAGCCGAAGAAAAGGGTGTGTGGCTTCAATGCCATTTGATTGTGGCTCATGTGTCAAGTGGCGGTGCAACTTCCATTCTCAGCTCACCTCAGCTGGACTGACACCTCTTCCACGTTAACGAACAGCCAAGATATCGTTGGAACATCTTCATGCGATAATGCAAGAGATTTCTGTTTATGGAATGTACCCATCGAAAAACTACACAATTGGAGCCAAGATACATTCGAAGATAGGTCACTTGCTGGAGTTGGTAATCAGTAGGGCAATATACGTTGATAACGAGAAAGGTTATGTGCTTTCGACTTCATCGTCATTTTGACCAACACCGTATCGTGGAGACAGGCCTTACCCAGAGAACCTCGCTTATTTCACTTCTCTTACAATTCTAAAACTTCATCCTTCGTTATGAAGGCTCAATATTGCAGCGTCTCTCGTGGACATTCGGACCCCCGTTGTGAAAATAAACTTGCAATCATTGCATCACTCAAGCCTGTCCTTCGCCGGCATACCAACATCTACACCTCGCATTGAGGAATGAATAATGCGCTCCTTTTCAAGTCGATGGACTTGGGAGAGCTCTGGCTTGAAGATTGCTGTACCAGAGGCTTTGCGCTATCTCTAGCCAAGTGGCCTGGCATTTCAAGAATGCCATTCCGGAGTTCGCGATAGACAAAACACAGACGTGACGTTGCAGATACCCAATTTGACGACACTTCAGCGCCAGACAAGAAATCGTATCAAATCACCTCAAGAAAGCCAGTCCCAACCCGACCAGCCACGCAAGAGGATTTATACACCCACCCGATTGCACACATCTATACACGGTCGGTAGGTGCTCGAAATATGTTCCTCAACTCATGGGTGTGAAAAAAGTCAAAAGGCAAGATGCAAAGAATGCAAAAAGAAGCAAGCAGTTTTGAACTCGAAACTTGTACAACCCGAAAATACTCTTCACCTGAGGCAAAAAAGAGCAAACAGGGCCTCTCTCTCGGAACAGAAAACCAGCCACTCCAACAACCCCAGCCCCAGCTCCAGCTCCAGCCCACCCCTTCCCCCGGGCCGGAACACGTTGCCGGAATTTTCGTTCCCTGGGCTCAGTGGTTTCTGGTTCCTATGAAACAACGGAGCTGGACAGGGGGACGTTAACCATCAACGGGAGAAGACGGCACAAGAAGGAGGCAGAGAACTGAGACTTAAGAGAATTGAGAATTTGTTACTATCCCTATTGTAACCCCAGGATTAGTAGCAAATTGCAACCTCACTCCTATTCTTCCTTGTCTTTACCCCCTGCTTTTGCTGGAGATCACGCAAGACACACAGACGACGGGAACCGCAGAGGCGAGAGAAAAACAAAAGGCTGCATTTCTTGGTTTCCTTTGCTGACCAAATCTTAGAAACGCTCTATTTGGACCCATGTCTCTGTATCCGTATCCGGTACTGGATCCAAATCCTCCCGCAATCTGCCTCGAAATCTCGCAAAGTCCCGAAGCAGAAAATCCACCGAGAGCCTTGTCCTTGTACTTGCCACCCCCTCCTCCAGCCCTAGGAGGCTGTTATCATTGAATTCGTTACCTTCATTGACGGTTTGGTGTCGAGGGGGACTACGTGTATCCAAGGGTAAGGCAACCGCAACCCTTAAAACGACATATATGCAATGTAACCTCTCATTTACCGACATCAATGCAATCATGAGCAGTACGTCCACATTGTTTGTGTAAAATCGTTGGACAGAGTCCGCGTGGACCTGTGAATTCTACAGGGAATCGGTAAAAGTTGGGAACCCAGCCTACAATCCTTAGATGCTTTTGCAGCGTAATTTTGCATTTTCATCTTCCCAAACCCGCAGCCGGTACGTTTCTTGCATAGCAACCGACATCTCGGGCATGAACCTCCCCTCATCATTACAGAAACAAGAAAACCCCGAAGAAAAGACCAATGGTGTATCAACGTCTTCCCCCAAAGTGACGACAATATCCCAGAGAAAACTCCGCTCCACAACCCAAAAGTCCTGGTGAGATAGGGGAACCGAATGCGCAATGAAAATGGTGTAGAAAAAAAGGGAACCGTTATGCTCGCGGAAGAGAACGCGCTGCAAAATGGGGGTATCGTAACAGAGGAGATGAGGTTATTTTTTTGCGCATGTTGAGTGCTGTTTGTGACCGTGTTTGCATCATAGGATGTCGTGCTTCTGGAAAAGCCGTGCCAGCGTGTCGGTACCAAACATTTCGTCGTCGGGGATCATTTCAATGATGCCTGTGAGGTTGGCGATCATGTCACCCTGGTTGCGGTACGCCAAAATCGCAGGCACAGCGGCGTTGTCGAACTCAATGTCAAGATAGTGTACCTTGACAAAGTGTATTGTTGAGTGCTGCGATACAAGAGGCATCATGGCATGCTCTATTGTCGCAGAAACGTCACACTAGAAGTCTCGTTAGGACTCAAAACTTGGGAATGATAGTCTCGATGGAGCTCACCTCTGGGTCATAGACGAAGACGACAACAACAGTGTCTCGCGCAACCTTCTCGATGGCATCGAGGTAGCCCAAGGCATCAACCTCATCCAGACGTCCGTAAATTCGCACACTAGGACTTGTTCTCCGGTTCCGAATAACCTTGTTGGAGTCGCTCTCGAGTTCTCTTCGGCGGCTCTCGCGCCATTGCTGCATGAAACTGTCGTCAGAGTCGCTGCCGTTGCCCTCATCCGTCTCGCTTTCGCTTTTGTTCGATGGTGGCGGCTGGGAGTTGATGTTGTCGAGGCCGAAGATGGAGCGCCTCACTGTAGTGCGCGCGCGGCTCATGAACGAAGTCTTGCGAGCGTTCTCGTAGTTGCGAGCATCGGCGATGACGCCCTTAACACCAGTGGTACGACCGGCATCGAAGCTAGCTGGGGGCAGCTTCAGGTCGGAGCCGGTCTGACCAAGAGATGGCATACGCATGGCGGCGTCGATTTGGGAATTGCGATATCTCTCTTCCTCGTCGAGGTCAAGGCTGTCCTGTTCGCGACGGTCGTGGTCTCGGTCTTCGGGATGTACTTTGCTGGTGTCACGGGAGTTTGCTGCTAGCAGAGCATTGAATTCTTCCTGGGCTGGTGTAGGGTTCGACATCTTGAAGGTCGTGTGGCGCGGCCGGGGAGGGGGAGCTTGATTTATGTATAGGACAAGGAGCGGAGGAGCGGGTGGGCGTGTGGTCAGAGGAGGAGGTTGTCGTCCAGGGTGTTGTTAAGACGGAGTAAACAAGCAGGTTGTGAAGAGTTGGCAATCGTGCGACGTTGAGCTTGGAAGGGTGTGCCCGGTTGTTCTGTCAGGGCGTCTACTTGGTAGTCGAGCAAGCAAAGTGACTTGTTCGGACAAGGACAGGATGGGTAGCGCAAATGGTGGTGGTGGGAGAGTCTGGAGAGGAGAGGACGGGCGGACGGTGGGAGGCGAAGCAGAGACGACTGGGAGTTGGATGGAAAGGATGGAGGCCCTTCGATGGGATTTTCTCGAAGCAGTGGAGTCGAAGCCAGGGGTCAACCCTTGCGTGGACCACGATGCGGTGAAAGCCGGGCCCAGTGGTGTACGGAGTAGTG